ATTATTTTCACTAACTGCGTATCCTTTTTTATTAGTTATTATTATTATTTATTATTATATAGTTACTTCCTTTCTCATTGTTATGTTTGACAAATAATTTGGGGCAGTGTGGCGTGAACATTTTTCAGCCCCTGAAAGAGGGCAAACTTTTCTCAAAATAAAGTAATCTGTACCCTTAGATTATAAATTCATTCATCCTTTAATTTTGAAATAATGGTCAGCATGATCAGCAAATTGCTGTTTGTTTATTTTCCTTGCATAAATCATATTCATTCAACTTAGTTTAACTCCATATTTTCACCCTTGGTCATAAATGCCGCCCCTGCAGTGGCTCTATGACCCACCAGTGGGCCCTGCCCCACAGTTTGAGAACCACTGGGTTCTGGAGAGTCCAGAAGTACTGAAATCCCAAAGCTAGTCTGAGGTTCCAGTAAATTGGTCTTCCAGTGAAACATTTCTCGGGGCAGATAGTTGGCTAAGTTTGCAGGTCTGATGCCATTTGTTTTTATCCTTTTCTTTTGGTCTGTGTCATGCAGTTTTTTGATGAAGGGCAGACACCCAATCACCTGCTCAGCAGAGCCGACCACAATGGGTGCCAGAGAGAAACTGAGGCTGTTTTAATCATTTATGTTGTTACCCATGGCTCCCTTCTTACATCGTGGTGTTTGTGTCTGTCATATTGTTATGGCTGTATGATTTTACTGTTAAACTGAGTGTAAAGGCAAAAAATAATTTTAACATGGCCCTTTGCTTCTTATTTAAACTTACCGTCTACCCCTTACCATGTCCCTTCTTCTCTCACATTTCCTTATTGCCTTTCTTCTTTTCTCTATCTTATATCTCTCCCTTGTCCCCTATTTTCTATTTTCTTCCCTTTCTCATCCTCCTTTAGTTGTTTTTTTGTTTGTTTTTCTTTACTTTCCTCTTCTTCATCTTCTTCTCATCCTCCTCCCCCCTCCTCTCTTTCTCAGCCTCTCAGTCCTTCATCTCTAAGTAACCCAGCCTATCTAATTAACTTTCCACTGCCAGGGTTATACATCACTGTGGCTGTCACTTCCCAGGGAAAGGGGAGGGGAGGGAGGATTATAATTTTTACCTCTTTTCTGTCATCTTTCTTTCTCTCTCTGTCTCTGTTTCATGTATTCTTTTGTCTCTTTCTGTTATTCGTTCATCCATTATCTCTCTCGCTCTCTCTTTCTCTCTGTGTGTGTCTCTCTCTCTCTCTCTGTCATCCCCGCATAAATAGATGTCTCCCTATTGATGGTGAACAATAGCATTAAGTAGTGTGTAACGAGGATTGTGGTGTGGGCCTTTGGCTAAGCTTGATACGATGAAAGGCTTGAGAAAATGGTGGACCAACCTTGTCACCCTTTACTACGGCACCTGTTTGCCACACATACTAAAAAAAAAACTCACTAAGGAATGATACAAGAATGTTGTTCAGAAAGCTCAAAATTCTCCAAATGATTACAGTGTCCATACACAGGGTAAAATGTCAGCTGTAGAGCAACTCTTCTGACAAAAATGTAAGGTTACACTTTAAAAAAGGTAGCCATGAGAATATAACCCTCTTTGGCAGAAAGGGCTGAGGGCAAAATATATTATTATAACCCAGACTAATTCCTATGGTGGAAAAAGGGGGCATCGTCTTCAGTCACTCCAGTACCCAACAAAAAACCACCTGAAATCCAAACAGAGTCCTTATGCTAAATGGCTTAGCCTAGCATAGCTCAGTTGTGAGATGTCTGTGGGCTGATTTGCAACTTTGCTTAGATGGTCTAACAAAAGTAGACCTTGTACATACCAGATCTAGTTGAGTTACTAATTTCACATCAACAAAGAAATTAGATTACAATGAAAATCTGAACCTATGACATTGTCTCATTTTGGGTAAGTATATGAAATAAAAGAAAAGAAAAATGTAAATGTTTAAAATGTGTATCTTTCAACGAAGCACAATACTTATCATGTATTCATAATAATGAAGTCCTATCAGTTCAAAGGTGACCCTGACCACTGACCTGGAAGAGCAAAAGAAATGTGTTTCCCTACAGGGTCAACGAAAGATAGAAAAACAAGCTGACGTACTGTATCTGTTGAGACATTACAGCATGAGTTCAATCAAGTTGTCAAATTTATCGAGAGTTGATGTGAAACTGTCCTCCAAACAATATGCTTCTCATATATATCATATTTACTATAACCATATCTGACCAAACAACTTCTGGTTTCTCCTTCATCCATCTCTGCAAGAAGACACTCAACACTTTTATATATTTTTTTACTTTTCTTTTGAAAAGTGTCCTTTGATTTTTCTCTTTTGACCATTCATATTCATATGCTTATTCGTGGGTATATAGCTGAATTCTAAAATATCAGAAAGATGCTGTGACTACACAAAGAACAGCTTCAGGTTACATTATTCACACATGAGGTAATTTTGCACTTTGGGAGCAGATGATTATCCTGACATTATTAACCTTGTCATATATCAGTAAAAATATACAATTCAGCCATTTCAAAAGCTGACTGTTGTGAAGGAACAACTTTAAAGATATTGTATGGAGACAGGAGGGGAAAGACAGTCAGTCAGGTAAAGTCTGGTAAAGAGACAGACAGATACAAACAGACATGAGGAGACAAGAAGAGAAGCAACCTGAATGGCAGATAAATCAGTTCAACAAATAGAAACTGGCATACAGGCAGAGTACCCACTGCAGCCAGATATACTGTTGGACATCCCAACTATTTTATCTGTCTGCATGCCCCAGACTGGTGCTGGCTCCTCTCTAGAGATCATTCTATACCCTTAAACCATTTTATGACAGGAGTATCCAATGACGCAATGTCTCCTTATCAGGCAGTCCATTTTATAAGGGTCCATTTTATATGAGGACGTGTGTTATCCTTGAGCTTAGAGGCACACATTTGATTGCTACCAAGATGACAGATTAAACTCTACAGCAATTGTTCTAACATTTATGAAAATTATAATAATAATCTGTGACATTTTCATATCGATTTTTATATATAATTAACCACAGACAAGGAAGCGTTTGCATTTTACATCCCCTCCTGCAGCTATCCCCTCTGTCAAAACCCTTTCAGCCCAGCATGCCCCTTGCAAACAAAACAAGATTTCACTAGATTTGACTAAACTAGAACACTGTTATTGTCCAATTTCAAGATGCTGAAATAGCGGAAATAATCTGTCCAAAATTCATTCATATCACTCGTTTTACACAAATTTTTTGCAGTTTATTGTACAATTTTGAATATAATATGAAATATCCATAAAATATGTCACTTAGTCAGGGGTGGTCAGTTTACTCAATTATAGAAAAGGGGTCCCTTAAGGAAGGTTGGGAACCACTGCTATGGAGAATCCTCCTGCTTACCTGTCCAGCTCAAGTAGATTATGTGTGACTGCTGACAATGGTGTTTACCATGGGACCACCAGGGTTGTGGGAGCTATCCAATAACGCTTGCCTTTGTTGAGCTTTGTAAAAGCTATTGCTTTTTTGTCTATTTGCATATTTTTATATTGGAAATTTGATCGTTTACCAACTTCTGATGATTTTAATTTGCTGCCATATGCATCAAAATGACTGGTCATAAACACCTTTAGATGGTGCTGATAAATGCTGATATCTACACATCAATTTTCTTAACAATGTTTTTTGTCTTTTTTTCTTCTTTTATACTGTTTAATTAATAGAAATACAGAGATAATGACACAATGATGCCTATGCTGTTTGATGTTATCTTTGCACTAAGTGTAACAGCTCAGCACAGCAATGAACACTTACAGGTAGCAAAGTTTGAGATACAAAAAAATGTGGAATTTGCAGATGACACAATGCTGCTCCCTCCTTTGCAACCTTTCTTACATACTTATTTACATACATACATTGGGCACCAACACCATGTCATTGCACTCATGTGTAGCATGTTACCAATATACATATCTCCCACAGTCTGCAAAGGAAGTATCACATCTCTGTCTGCCAACCAGCCAAAATATACTTACATACACCTATAAAAAGAACAGCTTATCCAAATAGCATTCCTTTTCATCCATTCTCATACAAGCTTTCCCCGACCGCTGACACCATCAAATGAACAGGGGAGAGCGGATGAAGGGGGGGATAGAGGGAGGATCGGATGAGTAGGAGGTGGAGGAGGATGGCAGAAAATAGATGTTTCTGTCGATTTTGCAGGAGAAAATAAAGGCGTGCAGGACAGCGAGGCTTAAAGCCAAATCAATGTTGTCAGCAGCTGGCACTTAAGAAGGGGCCATTAAAGTTTAAAAAGTTTGGAAAGCAGCGCTGGAATTAGGGCCAAATGGGTTAGAGGTAGGGGAGCGCTGGCTTCCATTAAAATCAAAGCCAACAAGAGCTGACAGATCCTCTCAGGATTCCTGCAGTCCTCCTGCCTTTTTTTTTATGAACTCCCTTTTTCTCTCTCTCTCTCTTTCTATCCTACATTCATTCATTCCAGCTTTCTTTCCTGTCCATCCATTTTCTTCAGGTTTGCCCACCGTCTCACTCCCTCTGTACTTGTATCTTTGTTGATTGTTTTTACTTTAACTTTTCATCAATCTATCCTTTCCCCTACACATCTCATCATATGCG